GACTTGGAGCTGTGTGTTGGTTTTTTAGAGAGTGTGTTTTGGGCTCAGTGGAGATGACTCAGCTGAAAGTGCTAGCCTGACCTCAGTGTAGTGTGCTGAGCCTCAGAGAGGGGTGCAGCTGCTCTTAAGGGGTAACTTCTGCTGTGGATGCTCAGTCACACACATCAATATAGCTTTGCGTTTCTAACAAAAAAGAAAATGACTGGATGCAAAATGGGCAGTTGCACAGCTCACTGGGTCACGGTGGGTGCAGGTTACCTTATGGTCCTGCTCCCTGAAAGGTTTCTGCAGCAGGTGAAGCTGTGCCATTTTTCAGTGTCGTGAGGGTGTCATTACCAGACTGCCTTGGATATAAGTTTTTGTATATAATCAGAGATTAGAAAATGTAGTGCTTGCAGGTTATGAATAAAATAAAGAAGGGGATAGGGATGATGCACAGCTCGGTCAAGACGGAAAGCTAAATGGGCTGTTTTTTAAGACAGGAAAAAGGAAGGTGAGAACAGAGCTCAGTGAAAATGAGGCAGCTTGGAGTGAGATCTCGGTCAGTGGGAACCGCTCGGGGCGCGTGGCTAGAAGCTGAGCAGCAAGGAAAATAGTCTGTCCGTTAATGCAGCGTCACGACAGGGTCACAGCAAAGCTGCAGGCTAACCTGCAGCAAAGACAGCAGCTGTAGCTGGTGGGGTGTGCAGCACTTGCTACTTACTGTGGAAACAGCAAGCAGGTGTTGGAAGGGCTGGTGGTCACAGCTGCTTTCTCTGCTCTTTGGACATTCCTCACTCCAGGTGTCTGGAAGTCACAGCGGGGTCATGAGGCAAATGCTCCCTTTTCCATTGGTGAAGCAGTAGAAATGCCGGATCCAGACAGAGTATCCCTGTGGCCATTCACCCCGCTGTGGTCTTCCTGCCCTGCTTGGAGAGTATCCCAGCTGTTCTGAGTACTCCTCTTGCCTTCCAGACTTGACTTGTTTTTTTCCCAGCTCCTCTACCCAGCTTACTAGGTGCATGTTTGAAGGTTTGTTCTCCATGCAGGGAGCTTCCTGCTTGACTGTTCTCTCCAAGCATTGGCCATCTGTGAGGATGTGCGTGCCCGCCTTAATGCTAGTATGGCCATAGTATCTGCAGCAGAGAGGGAGACAAAATTGCAGAAAAGGGTCAGTTTTGCAGTTACTGAGGAATTAGCTACTGCCATAGCAATTTATGCAATTTGCTTAGTGTTTGGACCTCTGAATTACTTTATTACAGCAATTGTTTCTTTAGATTGTCAGTACTTTAGATATCTTCAGTTCTTCAAAATACGACAGTTTTTATTAGGTGTGCTTAAAACTGCAAGTGTTTATTTTGTACTAGAAGCCATCTAAAGGCTTTCTGCATAAAACTGGTGCGTGTGTTCTGTGTATGAGCAAGAACCTAAAATCAATATTCAGGTGAGAACTAGTTTTCCCTGATTAATAAAAATTACTGCAAGTAGGCTGTCTTACATTGTTCCTTTGTGGCTTAGGGTGTATATTCCTTTGCCTAAAGAAACAGCTACTTCAGTGCTACATTTCATGACTTCTAGTATTTGAGCAACACAAAAAGTTGTAGGCAGCAGCAAATGGAGGAGATTTTTAGTAACTCCTTTTATAGGAAAAGGAAATCCTTTATAGGAAATCCTAGCCAGGCTTAGTTTGTTTATTTGCCCCTTCTTTGCAGGCATTGTGTATGTATCTTCCCTCATGTTACCCTACTATTAATTACAAATGCAGAACTAATTTGTTATGGTTTTAAATTGGTGCTAATTTGCATTGAGTCGTATTTGTGTGGTTTGTTGACTTGCTCGGAAAAGAGTTAAGTATATGAATGACTTCATGTTTTTCATCAAAGCACTAAAGTTGAGTTCATTTTAACTAACAAATGGGTATTACGGCAAAGAGCTATTTTTTTAAGTTAAGTTAAAAATGGGTGAGTTCTGTATCACTGCAGTTTTTCTGATGCTTTAGCCCTCTGTTATGGAAACATAATGGTTTTTAATAAGTTTTTATTCTTTTCAGGGCAGCAAAGTACAGACGAGGGTTGGACTATTGATGTTGCTTTGTACCTGGTTAAGCAACTGCTCAATTGCTGTCACACACTTCCTTCACAACCCAGCCAATATTCCTTTTGTATCCTTAACCTGCTTGCAGAGTAGAACCACTTGCCTAGAAATTCCTTGGGTTCCTTGGATTGTTCATGTTAAATTGAAATGCTTGTGCAGATCAGTTTGCAGGCGCTGCATGACATAAAAGGGAATGCATGGGGTGGGAGATCCATCCAGCTTCCGTTGGCCGGGCCTTGAGACGGTGAGCGCTGGCCCATCTCTACGAGATGTCTTCAAGCACAGTGGGAACTTGTCCTTGGTCGTGGGGATTCCCCTGCTGAAGGGTTCACTGCAGCAGGCCCTTGATACCCTAGTGTGACTTAGGCTTGTCATCGCCCAGGTGTGCAAGCCTGTTTCCTGGCTTTATTGGAGTTTATTTTTATGCTTACTCTTTATAAGTTATATCTAATGTCCACCGTGCAAAAATGTCATTTTACTTAAATATCACTGTAGGATAAAACAGAGGTGGCTGTTGTTGCTCCAAAACAAACAACATTTTCTTGAATGTTAAGGTGACCATTTCTAAAGAAAAACTCCTGTGGGACCACTGATTACCCAAGTCCTTTAAAAAAGGAGCTAGCCTAGTGAAGTTTACATCAGGTAGTTTCCTTATAAATCCAGCTCGTTTTTGTCTGCAAATGCTTTTTTAACAAAGGACTTAGACTGTAGTAGCATTTTAGTAATGAATATGTATGTTATATGCATTGTGCTTATGAAATATCTCGAATATCCTTAACGAGAGGTCCAGCTCACAGGACAGATAGCGGAAAACCTCGGAGAAGAGGAACAACTGGTCCAGGGCCTGTGTGCACTTTTGCTGGGCATTTCCATCTACTACAATGACAATTCACTTGAAAATTATAGGAAGTAAGTATGATACAGGAAAAAGATGACTATAGGGATGAAAGGTAGCTAGATGGTGGTTTAATGGGCTTTCACTGCTGTAGCGTGGTCTGAAGAGTGTTGGGATTAACTGTTTTCTATGCTTGTTTCTTGGGGTACCAAGCATGTTGGTTAGGAATGCAAAATAACTGCCCCACCTTTAGCTAGGCAAAGTAGATGGTGGTTCTGCGTAGGTCACTAACCTGTTTTTGCTCTGAGAGCAGATCACAGCGGCGCACTGCAAAAGCTTGGATTTCAGATATTAAACATCTAACGCAGATAAGAGTTGAGGAAGATGATAATTTGTAACTGAAAGAAATCTTGAGGGCAGAATCAGTTCATTTCTTCCTGGCTGTTGTGCTGTGATTAACTGTCTGTCTGCTTTTCAGAGAGAAGCTGAAACAGCTAATTGAGAAGCGGATTGGCAGGGAAAACTTCATCGAGAAGCTTGGCTTCATTAGCAAACACGAGCTCTACTCCAGAGCTGCTCAGAAACCACAGCCCAGCTTTTCTAGCCCAGACCACATGATGTTTGATCACGAATTTACTAAGCTTGTAAAGGAATTGGAAGGTGATGTGTATTATGCTACTATCAATAGTTTCTGTGATGAACTGATGATGCACCTAGTAAATGTGCTGAATTCTATTAGAAGTAGTAAAATCATATTAAAATGCAGTATCTGAAAACCATATTACAGTAACTGCTATAGCCAATAATATCCATACTTGTAATTTAACTATTCTGCTAAAATACAAGTCCATGGTCACAGTTGGTAATAATCAGATAATGTTAAACTGTGAAGTGAAATGTTTCTTAATATTTGCTGTGAGTCATCCCACTGGGGGTAAGAAGTCTATTTACTTGTGTTCCTGTAGTGAGTTAAAGGTTACGCCTTTAGAAAGCACACAAAGATGGCTGGAGAAGCTTGGTTCATGAAAGTGCACAAAGAACCTACCTCTTTGCTGTTTCTAGCTGATTCCTTAAGAAAAATGTGCAATACTCCCATTTTCTTGGTGAGACGGAGAGAAACTTTCTCCCTCTTTAAAAAGGGAAAAAAAATAAAGTTACCTCAATCCTTCATGAAAAAGACAGGATATGTGAGCATCCTTAACATTTACTGTATTTCTGTCATTTACTGATTTTCTGTATAATATGATTGTTCAACATCAGTCTAGAGAAGAAAAAAAAAAAAAGCAACCATAAAGATGATTTTTCCAAGTCAGGTTTCATCTGCCTTTCACCCTTGTCCTAAAACTTCTCCTTGTCTGCACAACCACTTGGGAAAGCAGCACTAGTGTAGCCTTACTGCAAGTAAGACTCATCTTTGCTGATAGAAAGGCTTCAAACATCCATTTGCTCTTTTGAAACTGTTGAAAGAATTAAGTGTGTGAACCTTGGCAAAGGACTATGCAAAAATACCTTCTCCTTTTTTCTTAGACCTGTTTGTGACCACTGCCTTTTTGAAGTGCAGGTTGTTTCTTGTACTATGACCTTAGTTAAACTCTGTTTTTGACAGGTGTCATAAGCAAAGCTATTTATAAGTCCAGTGAAGAAGATAAAAAGGAGGAGGAGGTGAAGAAGACATTGGAACAGCATGACAATATTGTGACTCACTACAAAAAAGTCATTAGAGAGCAGGTAAGAGGGAGTTGCACTGTATATATCCCTTTAGAAGTTGCCCAAATGACTTCGGGAGACACCAAAGTGCTGATTCGTACCAGATTTTCTGAAATGAGTAACAGGGAATCTAGAAATTCAGAAGGTGACAAATTAAATGTAGCTGCAGGAGGAGGTGACACTGACAGCATCATTAACCAGTGATATGATTTGGTGGAATATGGTTTCCTCTGTTTATATTTTGCTTGCAGTATTGTACACAAATGTGTTATGTAATATTGTAACATTTCCTCTTTTTTCTTTTACAGGACCAAGAACTTGAAGAATTAAAACAACAAGTTAACACTTTAAAATCTCAAAATGAACAGCTTCAAGCTACAGTTACACAACAAGTATCGCAGATCCAACAGCATAAGGACCAGTATAATCTCCTTAAAGTACAGTTAGGTATGCTATGCTTCAGAAAGAATAAAAAATCTTTTCACTCATGCTCAAGATGTTATCTAATTTATGGGAGCTACAGAACAGCTTCAGCCAACAACGTTCTGCTACAGGCATGATGCAATATGCTGTTCTGCATCTGAACACTTGCATAGAGATAAATGGGTGGGTTTTTTTGGTCGCTTGGGTTTTTTAGCTGCATTTAAGCAATGCAAACAGTAAGATTTTTTTCATCAGATTTTGCTAAAAACAGTTTGTTGAAATGCCTTGGAAGTACAAAATAGTATGCAGTGAGAACCAAGAGGATAAACTGGACAAGTGAATATGTTATTCCTTCTTGATTTTTGCGCTTGAGTATTTGGCCTTCTGAAGTAATGAGCTCAGTTTTGAGAGGCCTTAGACATTTGAGTACTTGGTTAATGCAAGGGCCAGTGTGCTCTGCAGGCCTGGGCAGTGATGAAACAAGTGCCTAAAGATGGCTGTAGATGAGAGAGTTCATGTAAATGCACATACTGAAGTACTGGGGCTTCTAATGACTTTTGATCTGATCCCCCTGTCACTTGCTTTGTTGTCCACAATAAAAGGGAGGCCTTGACTGCTACCTTGGCTGCTGTTCTGCAGGTATCCCTGGTTAGGGATAAGAATTGAAGCTGCTTTTGGAGCTGTTGGTTATGAGGGAACGGCTGGTAGAGGCTTTCTACAACTTTGCCTCTTCAATTAGTCCAAAATTGTCAGGCTTAGGACATAACAGAAGCCTGTTAAAGCTTGGAACACAAACAAATGGGCTAAGTTGCACACTTGTGCTTTCATTCACAAAACCAAACTTGAGTTGTGGAAGAATTCTGGTCCAGCAGATATGCAGAGTAAGACATAGTAGTATTAGCAAAGAGAGAGCAAACTGAATGCTTAGATCCAAGCAGTATCTGCAAGTTATTTCAAGGGGAACCTTGATAAGCTCAATGTGCCATAGGCCTATGTAGAAGTAATTCTGCATTTGGGATCTGTTACTAAAGGTATGCAAAGACAATTGTGTTTCCTCTCTGGAATGATTGCTTGTGAACTTACTAACGGAGCACGTTGATGTGGCTGCAAATATGTATTTTAAGCAATGGCAAATTAGAGCTGCTTGATAAGCTTTTTCTAGCCAATTTTTCAATGTTGCAGTTTCCTCCTGTAATTGGAATATCTTGTTTTGCCCCGTGCAAGAGGCGAAGCAAAGAATCCTTTCCTTTGTATGTTTTGAAGCTAACCTTAAAATCAGGTCAGCATTGTAACCTTTGTAATAAACTTTGTCCCACAGGAAAGGACAATCAGCATCATAATTCTCATGGTGAAACGTTTCAGATGAATGGCATCCAGCTGGAAGAAGTGAGCAAACTGAAAGAGGAATTAGAAGAATGGAAGAATAAGCATGAACTACTGCAAGGACAGCTGAGGGAGAAAGATTCTGTGATTGAAAAGTTGGTAAGAGTTAACTCTAATTGCTGCTGTTTGCCTTGGTCTAAGCTCTTTGATATGGTGATAGTCATGGGAAATGCTTGGAGATGCCTCTAGCAGAGCCTTTTCTGCTTGGCAGAATGCTCACAAGTAATTTTGCAACTGATCTACTGAACTGTGGGACCTGTGGTATTGACGTGGGGAGAAAAACACTGTTTCTTGGGAGCGTAGTCAGGGTAATACCTGAGACCCCCTTGGGGTGGCCTGCGTTGGGTGGCCTGCTGGCCAAAATGCAGGGTGCTGCAGGCTCCTTCCTTGACGGAGACCAATTCTCTGGGGTATGAATTGGTGAAAAACTGCTCTGTGTCCACCTGGCAAGCCACCCAGCTGCTCTCTTCTCAGGGAGTTATGTGTGTTTCTTGTCCCTTTTGCACTTTCTTAGCTAGAAATTATCCATGCAAGCCCACAGCTTGTTTATAACAGTAATTGTTCTGAAAACAAGACCATTTAGTGCATTTAGTTTTACGATCAGCTTCCCTATTGCTATTATTCCCTATTGATTCCGTTACTCCTATTGATATTATTGTTCGTATTGTTTCCTGTTGCTATTACAGAAGGCTTCACAGCTGGAGATGGGAACAACAGAACAATCTTCACAGACCAGCAAATCTGGTGCTTCAGAACTCAATAATGAACTTCAAAAGGTGAACTTGAACTACTTAATCTTGGTACTGTCACCCACGGGGCCAAGCTATGATAAACAGTGATAGCTCAGGATGGAAAGGGACTTGTGTCATGTTTCAGGGAGGAGGATGGATCCCTGAGTATGTTGCTATTTTAACTTTATAACCTTGGTTTATGATGATGGTGTTGGACACAATCTTGATGCAAGGATTATGTTGTTTATGCCAAGCAGAATTAGGCCAGCAGAAAAAGCAAACTCCTTATGTAAATGTTGATAAGAAATCTTCTAAGTATTAGATATGCAACACAGCAAACAGGGTCAATTAGTCAAGATGACTTTTGCTCCCAAAATGCTGAGCAGTGTTTCTCTGATTTGAAAGTTTATTCCTTAATTATTCCTGGGTTGATAATACGTTAATAGGTTTCTGTGCCATAGAGATACACTGTGTATTCACAGGAGTGCTAGTGTTGTAGCACAACCTATTTTTATTTGCCTTTTTATATATTTTTCTTCTATATTTTACAGTATTGATACTATTTATAATTATTATTGAGCCTCATACAGTTATCTTGAGCATCCTGAGGAGTCTTGTTCTCTAGAGAAGTGGCTGCCATGCTCTCGAGAGATGTTCATGAGTTTCCTGTCATATCCCTCATGTGGAGCAGTATAGAGTGCAGATGTTAGCATTTAAATTAAGAAAAACTTAATGTGAAAACATCTATCTTGCTACTTTATCCAAATAACTTGATGACCCTTTGTTTATTTACCAAAGGAATTAGAAACTCTGAGGAGTCAGATACAGCTGCAGTCTACAGAGATCTCTAAACTTCAGTCTGAGAATCAGAAGCTACAGCTAATGGTACGTGCAAGACTTAATCACTTCGCTTCGGGGACTGAAACTTAAGCTGTCTTTCCATCTTGTGCTGCCTGTGGCCACTTTTGCTAAAGCAAACTGTATTTAATAATACACATCAGTAAATGATTCCAGCAGTGTTTTAAATGACACAACTGAATTCCTAGACATGCCTTTCATGAAAACATAGTGAATGTAGTAATTGAGATACCAGTTTGAAAGCTTACATACAAATGTATATTAAAGAAGGTAGATGAATCTGTCCTGATACTGAAGTACTTGAGAGTTTTTAGTTGTGTGTTGAAAAGAATTGTGGATAAAGCATGATAGACTAGCTAACTAAATCTGATAATGTTCTCAAAGCTAGTTCATTTTAAAACTCTGTGCTGAGCTGGAGAATTGCATGAATATGCCAGGGTCATGTTTCTGACATGGTCCAAGCTGCAGGAGCACAGGCCACATAAGTGAAAGGAGAGCACAGCACGACGCCGAGTGCTTACGCAAAATGAGGATCCTCCTGCGTGGCAGTAGTCAAGACAGATGGTAGCCTGTGGTAGCTGCCCTCACTGGAACTCCTGCTTCCAGCAGGTTTGCTCAGACTTGCACACTGAAGTCTAACTTGAATATTGCAAAACATGAATAAGAAAAATAGGAAAGGTGTAATGTAAATATCTGCTGAGCAAGGAGGGTTTCTGGCATAAAGTTTCAGCTGCTCTCCTATAAGATCCTGCATCACACGTGCTGGCCATGTGTGCTGGTGAGGCACATTCAAGTGCCCCCTGCTGCCTCCAGCTGTCAGCCTGCTTCCTTGCCATCCTGCACACTGCTCGCTGTTCCTACAGCTTTGGCCTGGAGATGCTGCAGCTGGGGAAGCATTTGTCCAGCACTCATGCAATGCTGATAATTTTAGTTTAGTGAAAAGACAGCTGCCACATTTTGGAAAGGTTAACTTTGGGTAGGACTGACTGAAAACAAACTTGCCATTTTTAGTTATGTAGCATGCAAAGATTCAAGTTTCTGCTTAATAAAAGTCTTTAGCACTTTTTAAGCAGTACCTGAGTGAAACTTAGTGGTCTGTTAGGCAAGGAATCTGCCTACAATAAACTACCAGATCCTTTCCGTGGTATGAAGGTCACATTTTGTGTTCTCCCCTTTGTGTATGTGTATATGCACATTCCTGTGTGAGACACCCCAGGAAGGAAAGGCCTGTCTTCTTTGCCTTACAGTACAGGATTTTTGCAGCACCTTAGATGAGCTGTAATACGAAAATATGCTTTTAACATCTACAACTTCTTGTATAATGTCTTGACTTGCTGCCTTTGCGTATGAGGCATTTGGCATACCTGATAATATATTTCTGTTCCACAGAATGCAGCTGCAGATCCTGTATTAGGAGATTGCGGGGCCACAGCAGCCAAGAATCCCGAAGCGGAAGGACGACTTTTGCAAGAAGTGAAAGAACTGAAGGTTGGTAATGGACAAACACCAAGCCGCAAGTCCTCCTGATAACCAGTCTTCAGTTTGGACTTGCACAGTAGAAAAGGCTTTGGGTGGAAGAGGAGCTCTGTGCTCTTAGTGCCTCATATGCTTTAGGTTACATAAGGGAACCTGCATCTCCCTCTTCCAGCTTCTGTGAGGCCCTAGGCCTGTTAGGAACCTTAGGTCAGCTGGGAGCTGTTCAGCCAAATTTGAAAATGAGGTAGAGTCCTCAAAAGACAGCTGGGTTTCAGTGCTGTTCATTAAGACAAGGTGGATGGATGGATAGTGCCTGAACTAGATGTTACTCTGAAGAAACTTTAGAGTGGACTCGATTGAAAAGGGTTCAGTTCAGCCTGGCACTAGTCAGTCATGATATGCACATGTGAAGATGAGAACTAGCCACAGTGTTTGGCACATTCCTCTGAGCTAGTTATGGAAGGTTAGAATAGTGGAGTTCAGGTAGGGAGGGTCAGAAATGAGGCTACAGAGCACTAACGGAGTGGAGTTGTTACAGTTAATCTATGGAGCATGTTCATATGAAATGAGGTTTCAGCTGTTCCTTTGTTCATGGTGTAACTTGCTGTGGGTTTTTCCTGTTGGCAGAATGAAGTCAAAGCTCTCTCTGAAGAAAAGGCATCACTAAAACAACACTTGGATTCTTCTAACAGTACAGTTGCCATTTTGCAAGATCAGAAAAGCAAACTTCAGCAAGAAGTTGCAGAATCAAAAAAAGAACAGGATGATCTCCTGGTGCTTTTGGCTGACCAGGATCAGAAACTATCTGCATTAAAAAACAAATTGAAGGAGCTGGGTGAACCGGTAAGTGAAATGAGGGAGGGAGTAAGTTCTCAGGTTGGGGGCAGTCTGGCTATAGCAATATGATATCCACCACGTTAGAGGCATCTTGATGTGAACAAGGGGCTGCCGAAGCTGCCAGAGTTGCTTTCTCACCTCAGAGTGGCAGCCAGCAAAAGAGACCATGAGTGCCTCTTGGAAAAGATGTTCACCTCAGGAATGCTCTGATGTATCTGCCTACCTGGTGTGAGAAAGTGACTTGTCGTGTATATGCCTGGGTGATATGTGACTTCCTATCACAGGCCATCATGTCTGTCAGTCAAATCCTTTATCTTTTGAAAGAAGGTTTACGTTTTGGTAGTGAGCAGTTATTTGGTTTAGCTACACCTGTATGAATAAAGTTATAGAGAGGCTGGTGAGAGGAATTAATGTTATTTGTAGCAAGGGTAGACCCTACAGTGTAGCAAGAGTATTTCAGAGCTCATAGACCTCTAAGTGACTTTCAGGAGATGTACTGGCAGGACATGAATCGGCTTCCCTCGTGGTAGGGCAGTGCACGGGACTGGACGTGTCTTCATCCTCAGCCACTCTACTGAAGTCTGCTGGTGCCTGCAGCTGGGTGGGAAGCTGAAGAATAAAGTTACTCGCTCAAATGTTCAGGACAGAACTGATGACTGAACAGAGGCGGCTGTGCCCTTAGCTGGGTGACATTGTAAGATGACAGTTGCCTTTATCCAAAGAATTAATTGGTAGAGCGCGGCATGTTTCAGTTAGCTTCAGGTTTACTTTCGTTGCTTAAGCATTTGTCCTGTTTTGAAAAGTTTGGATTGGAATAAGGGATGTTATTTCTTACAATAGATCTTTACTAATTGCAGGTTGAAGATGAAGATGATATTGAATCTGGAGATCAGGCGGATGAGGATGAGGATGGTGAAGAAGAGGAACAAGACTAGTGTGTTCTTGTGTGTTACCATGAAAACTAGATTGCCTTGTGTTATGGAACAAACTAAAACTACTATGGGTATACAAAGCAAAATACTTGCTTAAAAAGCAGAGGGGAGAATGGTAACTGTGGGCCTAGTTATAAGTTACTGAAGTGTTTGGAAACCCTTCATACTAGAAAAGCCAACAAAAATCACTCTAAGTTCTACATGAGCATCCTAAATTGTACTTGTTTATAAGTTGCTTTAGACACAGTTTAAAGCATGGGTATGACAATGCTTCTGCCTCAGTTCATTGTCATTGACAGGAGTTCTGTGCATTTGTCTAGCGTTTTAATTTTTCAGGGCTCTTAACCTGATTAAATACACAAGTATTTGGTTTAACACCTGTCAAATGGAATCACTGCCTCTGCCTCGAGCAGGGGCCTTCAGTGTAGCTGGTGGCTTCGGCACAGGAGCAGGGCTGGGGGCTGCCCCTGGCCCGCGGAGCCCTCCCTCAACGCGCGTGAACCTGCCCGGCACGGAGGGCCTTGGCGCTGGACACGACCACGCCGGCACCTCCCAGGGAGACTGTAACACCCGGCTAATCCCGGGGAAGAGGTTCCACCGACACCTGCACCAGAAGGGTAGCGTTTCTAAGGAGACTATCTTTGGAGAAAGAAACAAAAAGGACAAAAATGCCCATTCTAAGGATATAATGTGCTACCCACTCAGCATACAAAAATTTAATTCTGTTGACTACTTCAGTAAGGAGATGAAAACTACTATGATTTATATAACTTATTGGCTCTTGATGAGTAAATAAAAGATGAAATTTTAAGAGAATTTAATTCATTAATGAATATTATAAACGGCTCAGTTTTGGTTTTTGGTACTAAAAGTAGGTATATGTTCACTTTGTACAGAAACACAGAATCATTAGGGTTGGAAGGGTCCTCTAGAGATCATCTAGTCCAACCCCCCTGCTCCAGCAGGGTCACCTAGAGCACGTGGCACAGGGTGGCATCCAGGCTGGTTTGGAAGATGTCCAGAGAAGGAGACTCCACAGCCTTTGGGCAGCCTGTTCCAGGGTTCTGTCACCCTAACAGTAAAGAAGTTCTTCCTTGCATGGAGGTGGAACTTTACTCTGTGTTTCAACTTACACCTATTACCCCTTGTCCTGTCACTGGCCACCATGGAGAAGAGCCTGGGCCCCATCCTCTCTACAGTCACCCTTCAGGTACGTGGCTGTGTTGATCAGATCTCCTCTCAGCCTTCTTTTCTCCAGACTAAACAGGCCCAGCTCACTTTCAGGTATGTGGCCGTGTTGATCAGATCTCCTCTCAGCCTTCTTTTCTCCAGACTAAACAGGCCCAGCTCACTTAGTCTTTCCTCATATGACAAATGCTCCAGTCCCTTATGACCATTGTAGCTCTATGCTGGACCCTCTCTAGAAGCTCCATGTCCCTCTTGTACTGGGGAGCCTGGAACTGCACCCAGTCTTCCAGCTGTAGCCTCACCAGAGCTGAGCAGAGGGGCAGAATTCCTTCCCTCGACCTGCTGGCAATGCTCCTCCTGATGCAGCCAGGATCCCATTGGCCTTCTTGGCCATGGGGGCACACTGCTGACTCATGGTTAACCTGTTGTCAACCAGGGCTCCCAAATCCCTCCCCATGAAGCTTCTTTCCAGCAGGTCAAGTCCTAATCTGTCCTGGTGCCTGGGGTTATTCCTCCCCAGGTGTAGGACCCTGCACTTCTCACTTAACTGAGAGCTAGTAAGATGCCTCTGCATCTGCTATATTTTGATTCCCACTCCTTGATTCTGTTATATATTACAAAAAAAAAAAAAAAAAGGAACAGGAGCTTGAACTGCAAAGAGGAAGAAAAAGCTGAAGGCTACCACAGCTTTTGCTGCTTGTTCTGTCATGTGAACCATTTCTAAAGGAATGGGCAGTTTTCCTGTTTGCAAAAACTCTTAAGAGAAAACTCATTCAAGCAGTTATCCTAGTACTGAAGTATAACCCAAGTTTCTTTTCTAGGTCTGGCCATACTCTCCTTTTTGGTGTGACAGACACAAAAGCTGAGACTGTTCAGGACAGTTATTGAACTTAACTAGCTGGAAAGCTAAGGTGCTTGTTCTGGTCCCCCAGGACATGCAGCCCTTGCCCTGTAAGGAGCACACATGGATGAGCTGTGAGCAGGGGAAGCCCTGGAGAGGAGGAAGCTGCTGCAGCTGCCTTAAAAGGGGCAGTTCTTCCTGGCAAAACCTGAGGCCCCTGAAGTTTTGCAAAACTCCACAAATTTCCCCCTGTCCTTTCTTCCCTTGCAGCTGGGATATGCAGTTAAATGGTGATAATCCCAGCTGGGACCTGAGGTTGTTGTGGCAGTTTGTGTCTCATATAAATAGCACTGATGAGAACAGGATTTCTATTCCAGCTTGTAAGCGAAGTTGGGAGTTCCTGGAGGTTATATGCCTTAGGCTCATCACTGTACCCACTCTAACCGGAGCCCAAAGTTAGGGACATGACTGAGCACGGATGGCACTTGAAGAGAAATGGAAAGAAAGGGTATGCTGAATTTTTAAAGAGACAATACGTAGAATGAATAACTATAATCACTATTATCAGCAGAAGAAATGGGAGCTCCATGCTGATGAATTAAGAAAACAACTTGAAACACGAGGTTTGTTTTCTCTTTGTTTAGCTTGGCTTTTAAACCCTAGCGGGTGACAGCTTCAGTACCTGGGTCTCCCATGAGTGTCAGCACTGCAGTTTCCTGTAGTACGCTCTGCCCCCAGGGAGCTGGTGACAGCTTGTCCTGCCCTGCGCAGAGACAGACCTCTGATGAATTAAGAAAACTTGAAAAACAAGGTTTGTTTTCTCTTTGCTTAGCTTGGCTTTTAAACCCTAGCAGGTGACAGCTTCAGTACCTGGGGTCTCCCATGAGTGTCAGCACTGCAGTTTCCTGTAGTACGCTCTGCCCCCAGGGAGCTGGTGACAGCTTGTCCTGCCCTGCGCAGAGACAGACCTGTTCTTTGTGCCTGCTTCCATATTTTCCTACATTGCCAACTATTCCACAGACTCTTCCTTGGGAGATGGTTACTGCTGGCTCCTTCCATAAAGGGTAAAGATACCTATGGTGAAGAAGCAGTGTCAAGAAGCCTCCTAACTTTGTCAGGAAAGCTGATGGGGCCTGCAGAGCCAGACCTACCCTTGCGGGAGCCGCAACATAACCACCTCCTGCTTCCCTGAGGCTTGCCCTCGGGCCCTGCAGGCTTTTTTGTCCGTCTTACATGCATTTTATATTGTCTTCTGGGTGCCTTTCTGCAACATCTATACAGATGCCATGGGTAGAAATAACCAGATATTTACATAAGCTATCTTTAATCTGCAAGGATGCTCTAGAAGGCAAGTGTACCCCTGTAGAGTGGAGGGAAGGGCAGTGAGGAAGAGAAGACAGGAAGCAGACCTTGTCTATACAGTGATGAGGATGAATCACCTGAGAAGAACAATTATAAGCAGATTCAGGATGAGAAAGGACCAAGCATGCGTGTGATCATCTGGCCCAACGTTCACCAAAGACTCACTTGGACATCAGTGCTGCTCTCAAACATGGCAGGTTTTTCTTGCCATTCTCTCCAGTGCTGTACTTGGGAGGCTTGCACTTTTGAAACTTGCACTTTTGGATGCAACGTCAGAATGTTGGAAATGGCAAAAGTGAAGGAAGAGATAACTAGGCAAGGTAGCAAGTTCAGAAGATAGAGAAATTGGTTACAAACAGGTTTTAAGTAGACTTGTCCAAAGCTCTCTTCTGAATTAGAAAACCTGTTTTTTGTTGATGGTTTTATTGTACCATCCTAGCAGTTCATCTTCCTGCTAGTAGCAGATGTGCCTAGATTATAACTGTGTGATTGTTAAATGGGTGGCTTTTGCCTGGAAAGTGTTCACTTGACCGTGCGCTCTTGACTTGGTCATGAAAATTGGATTTATTTTTGTTTCTTTTGAATCTTTTCTTGTCCCGTTGTGACTGGGACATTGTGAATATAAAGTATTTTCCACTCACCTGATTTTGGATCATTTTCACCTAGTCCCTTTTTAAAGAAAGTGATTGATATTGAGATGGTAAATACATTATAGATATTTAGCTTGTTGCACGTACTGAGATCAGTTCAGATAAACGGGCCAAGAGGCCCTGACCTGCAAAGAGTGCAGGAATGAAGAACAAAACGCAAGTAATGCTGATTACTGCCTTCAGTGTTTTTCTGCACCTCCTTCTCACATAAGCCCCCACGGAACACATCCCTCTCTCCTGCTCTCTCCATTGCTGCTGCCTGTGTTTCCAGCTAGAAAGGTCACTCTTGTTTCAGCTCTCTGGTGTATTTATTGCCTAGTGACAAGTGGCTTCCTCACTTCAGTAAAATATCAAGTTCATCATGTGTGCTGTGGTACCACTGCAATTGGATCAGAATCAAACTGCCCCCTTTTATAAGGGGAGTTGCAATCTATTTGTTAACTCAAGACTGCTTCCCCATTCAAACCATTGGCTGTTGTGTCTGCCTAAAAATTGTGTTTTTCAGAGTACATGGATTACCTTCCAAAATGTGAGCACACACTACAGCTTCAGACTGCAGTCCTGCCTGTGTCACACAGCTTCTACCTGATGGCAGTCTTCTGCAAACTGAAATATGACCAAATCCCATTCATTTTGGCAAAGTCCTTCCTAGGAATTAAAATCTCAACAAAGTGTTCATTAGCACATGGAGGCTAGCTAAAGTAATTGTGTTTTGTCAACACTGCACTAGGAATTTGCCCTTTCTCAAAACTGGGGGAATAAGGGAAATTTTGAAGGAGGGAGATTGGAGTCTGTTGAGGGGCAAAAGGAGCTACCAGCCTGTGGGGTGCACAGGTGAAGGGGGTGGCGGGTCTCCATGAGCCGCGGCTGCTCGCTCAAGCCTGGTGCAGGTAGTAACTGCAAACATTAAAGCTGCCTTGATGCACCTCAGTTTTGGATCGGCGGCCTCTCATTTCCCCTTCTCTCAGCAGTTCTGTACCTCCCTCCCTCACGGAGCCGTCTCACGGGTGGCTCAGGCCTGG